TCAACAGAACAGGAGTAGGTTACTTCCTGTTCCAGAAGCATTGTAACAGTGCCATCGAAGTGGGACTGATTTGTGGTGCAAACCACTGGAAACTTAATTCTAGTCAGATCCTATATATATGTGTGTATGTATATATATGTGTATATATGTTTTTAAGACATTTTTATGTTTATACATTTTTTTTATAGATACAAATATTTAAGTAAATGCTCTGTTTATAATAAACAGTATTAAACAATATTTACCAGTCTGAATGTCTGAGAAACTTTCATAGAAAATATTCGTTCTCCGATAGGATTCAAACCTGTATCCTATACAGTACCGTCATTTCGTCTGACATGCTCTTAACCAATCGAGCCACAGAGAATTGTTCGATTAGCAAGGTCAAATTTACTGCCTTTAAATTTCAATCTTCCATGATTCTCTCGTGTACATTCATATCTACTCATGGCGTATCCAAACGTAAACAAATGACATCACACATTATGAAATGGACAAAGTCTGACAATTATTTTTAAGACATTTTTATGTTTATACATTCTTTTTATAGATACAAATATTTAAGTAAATGCTCTGTTTATAATAAACAGTATTAAACAACATTTATCAGCCTGAATGTCCGAGAAATTTACATAGACATAAAAATGTCTTAAAAATAATTGTCGGACTTATAAAGTAAAGGCTCTCGAGAAAGCAGTTGAGCAACATGCTCCATAAGTTTTCTATGTGGTTCAGGTCAGGAGATTGGGGCACCCATGTCATAACACTCACCTGCTTCTCATCAAAGTATTCCTTCATCAATTTTGATTTGTGACAGGGAGCATTATCCTGCATAAAAATGAGCTTGGTGGGGTCGATTTGCACCCTTTCAGTAGAAGGGAGCAGACAAGACTATTAAATTATCTTGTACTGCTCACTCCTGAGGGTCTTTTCAATAGGTTTTAAGAAACCAGTTCCATGAAAATAAAAGCATCCGCAGAACATTATACTGAACGGATGCTTAACAGAACTTACTGCTAACTTCAAAGAGCTTTCAAAGCTTCTTCTTCAGATTTTAGATCGCTTATCCTTTGAATTTAGCTCAACTTTCATTTCATTGGAGAAGAGAACATTTAGTAAAAAAAAATCAGGTGAGTCACTTTTATCAAACAGCACTGTGTGTGTGGGTATATGTATATATCTGTCTGTGTATGTGTGTGTGTGTGTGTATATATATATATATATATATATATATATAAGCAAGTGTAAATGGATAAAATCCGACAGAATGTAGAAATTTTGAAAAACAAACAAAAATCCATAAATGTAGTTAAAATGAAAGAATTGTCGACGTCAGACGTTTTGGTTTTAATAAACCATTTTCAAGACAAATTCATTAAAATACAAATTCAGTTCAATATGGCGAAAACGATGGACATAAAAAACACAAGTCTTATCCAAGAGTAAAACAGATAACTGAAAATTTTTAAAAGATCAGCTTTCCGTTTAACGTGGTCACGCCGTAGTCACAAACGCTTTCATAACGTATTCCTAAAAGTTCGTGATTATTTTAAAATTCCTGTATTTCCATTCATTTTAACTACATTTATGGATTTTTGTTTGTTTTTCAAAATTTATATATATATATATATATATATATATATCTCTGTGTGGGTATATACATATATTAGAGTTCGTTGGTTTGGCAATTTATGTTTTGGTATCAGTTTCTGGTTTGTTTGTTTTTTCCTTGATATCGCTGGTTTTGATTTGGTTTTTCTGTTTTTAATGTAGTATTTTGGCTTCCTAAGGAAGCCTTTCATTTTCTTGTGTAATGATAGCATTTCCTGTTGATACCAGATTTCATTTGAGATAGATAAATTAGTCTGTTTGCAAATTTTTATGTACTTCAGGTCCCATCTTAAAAATATTCATATGGCTATGAAGAAAATAAAATAATCTTTCTAAATATGTAATTTGTATGTACTTGTATTCCTTGAATTATTTTTTAAAGCAAGTTAAAACGGTATTGCTTCGATCAGCCAAAAATGCGAAATATGATTTTTTTTTTGTTTTTAAGTCTAAATTTTACGTTACTTTGTTTCACAAAATCAACATGACCAGTCTTTATCAATATTCTTGAAATTGTACACTCAATTAGAAGACACCTTAAACTACAAACAGGAAGATGTTCAATTCTTCTCTGACCTGAGGAAGCGACTGCCTTCAAAAATTATAAACTAAGAAAAAAAAAAAAAAAATTCAGCAATTCTTTTCTGGTATGCCAGTCAACTATTATTAGTGTTTGACAAATAAATTTCTTCTAAACAAGGAAAATCAATGAATTATTTTTACCCCCTAAATAAATTTGTTTTTATCTAACAAATACACTTAAAATTAAATATTAAAAAAAAATGTTCATTTCATTTTTAGAATGTGAATATTTCCAAACCTGTTCTTTTTTAGATACACATTTTAAAACTGAAATTGAAAACTATTTTAATCATTTTAATATAATCTTATTTAAGTGTATTATTCACCAGATAAAACCATAAAATTTGTAAAAATAAAATGAACTAATTTTCCTTGTTTAGAAGAATTTTATAGGCAGAACACCCACCAAACACTAGTGGCTAAAAAAGAATAATTTTTTACTTTGAATTTAAAAAAAAAATAACTTGCACTTTTGAAAATATACATATTTTAAAACTGAGATTAAAACTTACTTTATTTTTTTAATGTCTAATTTTAGGTGTATTCACTAGATAGAAACATAATTTTATTTGTAGAAAACAAACAATTTTCTGAGTAGAGACTGGCATATCTGGAAATATACACATTTTAAAAGTGAAATTAAGAACTATTTTAATTATTCTTAATATCTAATTTAGGTGCATTCCCTAGATAAAAAACAAATCTATTTATAAAAAAATCATTCATTTTTCTTGTTTACAACATTTTATTTCGTGATTGATGTACTGGCTTACTAGAAAACAATTATTACCCTTCTTTACAAAAAATCTGACTTCATAAAATTTAACATTAAGACAAAACTGGCAACTATTTTTTTTCATTTTTACTCGTTTTTTGTTGTTAATTTTACTGCAAAAAGTTTTTTTTTTTTTAAACTGGAACAAATAGATTTTAGACATCATGTTGTATTTCCTTTTTTTTTTTCTTCTTCATTTCTTTCATAAACAAATAGATTTCATATTTATTTCCTAGAACTAGTCAATTAAATGTTTTTAACATTTTTGTTCCATCTTTTTCTCTTACAATGATATAAAGTAGTTAATTTTATTAACATCTAAATGTCTTTTTCAATAGTGTTTCTCTGGATATGGTCACTCAGTAGTGATAGCACTTGAACCGAACAATTTTAGTTTAAAAAAAAATTTCAATGCAGTTTCACGGTGTGAAGATGAAACTGAAAAAAGTCAGTTTTTTGGTTAAACCGCACATATATATATATATATATATATATATATATATATATATATATTCATACACATTTCATTAAATAATATAGACAAGTGTTGTCTATTTATTTTATGTAAATTCTGTTTGACATCTTTGATAATGGCTTATGTAAGCCAAAAGCTTAGATTGTATTAGAAAATATGGATCAATATTATGAATTTCTTTCTTCATTCAATGATAATGTTATTAAACTTATCAGACATTATGAAAAGAATTTAAATAGACAACACTTGTCTATATTATTTAATGAAACATGTATGAATGAAAAGATGCTGCCTAAATACACACTATATATATATATATATATATATATATATATATATATATATATATATACACACACACACACACATCTGGATGTCATAAAATGACCAATAAGGATTGATATGCCATTAAAAAACAATTTACCTCATCTTGAAAGTGACCAGGTGAATAGGAGGGATGGCAGGTGACTGCACAGGCTCTGTGGGATTATATCCACAGCTCGTGTTTGTGGTGGTCTTAGATGTTGTGAGCAATGAGTCCTTTTTTTATGACACCCTTATTCTCACTGGGTCTCAGTGTCAATGCCAACAGCTTACATCAAGGTGCTGGAAATGGTGGTGAAATCCCAGATCAAGTGGGTGAACAAACCTGTTACAACAGATCTCTGCTCCCTACAATATAGTCAACATGGCCTAAGATTGGCTGAATGAGAATTTTCGGTCATGTCAACCCCAACATAATCTCTTTGCTCTCCTGACTTGAATCCTCTGGTCAACTATATCACCAGTCTTATAATGCACCAAGGATGAATATGAACAAGAACCACCTGATCCAGGCATACAGCCAATATTGAAGCTGTATAGTGGGTGACTTCATGGCTGAGGACAGTTTCATTAAATAGCCTCTTCTGCTAAGTTGAGCATAAGTACAAATCTTTTGCTAAAAATATACTGATAGTTTCTGTTTAATATCTCAGTTATCTGATGCACATTATATATCTTCAATTTAATTTTGTAAAATATAACCTGATATTTCTGTTTAAATGGTTTTAAAACATTTGTAGTTTTTTGTTTTAAATTTCATCAGAAGTGAGTTTAACTCTTTATATATCTTACAATAAAACAAAGTAAATTTAGTTATTTGTATTGTTATACATAAATCTTTGATATATTCATATGGTAATTTAAAAATGAGTTATAAAAATAGCTGCATTGAAAATGAACAAACAATGTTCACTATGAAATTAATTGCTGTTGTTAATGAATTAAAGTTAAAATGGTTTTGTATAAATTGCTCATTCTCATTGGAAAAGTTTTGTCCTACATAAACTAGATGCAAACAGTATCTGTCTCTTTGGAATGCTTTGCGTTATAAAAATTGATATTACTTAAAAAAAAAAAAATAAAAAAATAAAGAACTTTAGGACATTGCATATTGCAAATTTTGTCCTTTTTACTGTTTATTATTTTTGATATAATTCAGTCTAACTTTTCATCATGCCATATTTGAATTAACTTTACTGACAAACTGATCTAAGACTATTTTGTTTCTTTCAGGGAGTACCAGAAAGTATTGCCAATCTAATGAAAGCAGACATGAAAATCTGGGTCCTCACTGGAGACAAGCAAGAAACAGCTGTCAATATTGGTAAGTTTGTTTCCTTCATTTGAATTCAAATACCTTAATGTGGTCATATATTTTATATAAACAAGAAAAATGAATCTAAATTCTTGAATTATATATCTCTCAAGGTATGTGTAATCATTAATCAAGCAAAAAAATATTTTCATAAGCACTGCTAAAGAAAAATGTGGTAGATTTTTGAAGAATTTATTTTGAGAAACTATTAAATATGAAAATAAAGTTAAAACATAAAACTCAATTTTTATTGTAGATAAATGCATAAGTAACAGTTAATACCTGAAAATAATAAAAATTGTCAACTTTGTTATATTATTGGTACTTCATTGTCAACTGTTTACTCTTACCTACAGGAGGTATGGAAAAATTACTGGTCTAACTTATTTCCCAAAATCTGGGCTAAGAACTTTTCACTATTCCCATGGATATTTAAAACTGAATATTAAAAAAGTGTGAATTTTGTATCTGCTCTGCAATCTTATACCAGCTTAGTATTAAATACTTACTTCTTTCTGCTTCTTTTTTTTTTTTTTTTTTTTTTTTTTACTAAAACATCTTGATCAAAGCAGAATTGCTAAACCTATATAAATATATATAAATATATATATATATATATATATATATATATATATAATATAACCTACAGAACTATTTCTTACAAATAATTTTTGTCTCATTGTTAATTTTAAGGAAGTTTGAGGTTTTAGTTTATGGTAAATTATATGATCCATATTTTGTTCACATTTTTAAAATGTAGTCTGATGGCTTATCCATGTTATTATTGCAGGTTATTCATGTAAACTGCTTACTCAGGGCACACCTCTATTGATGGTCAATGAACATAGCTTAGACGTAAGTAAAAATGCAGCTGCACACTTTTGCCTTTCACTCTGACATTACTGACATGGTGATTTCTTGACAAATTCATTTGATCCATAAATTTAGAAATTCAAATCCCAAAAAGTGAAAGCATTTTTATGATTGCAGCATAAACTTGGTAACCGACACATCAAGTGGACTGAGGCTGATGAAAATTTAATTTTTAAAGTATGTATTCTAGCACGACTTTTACTGCTGTGGTACTTGTTTTAATCTCTATGAATTGTGTGTAAACTCTATCTTCACTACTTAGTGCTGTTAGCTTTATTCTCCTATTAACAATTTAAAAATTTCAAGTTCCAACCAGAAAACTGCAATGGTTCAAAATGTCACTTAGGTGTGAGTGGTATTTTGGGATCAGCTTTTATCTTAAGTACTTTTAATGACCTCTTAGATATACACTGTATACAGTGTATAGGCATTAAATGTTGTAGTTGGCTTCTGTTCAATAAAGCCAGTGCTATGAAATGGTTTGAAGAAATTGTAACAAATAGTTCATGTTTTCCTTAATGTTCTATATGCCTTGCTGTTTTATTTACTAAGAAATTACCTTTTTTTCTGCAATGTTGAGCTCTGAGAGAATGATGCATGCAAACAAAAATGGGAAATTCTTAGACTCTTCCATGTTTTATTTCCAAAATGATTTGTCATAAAAATGTATTGGGATGTTGCTATTTCACTTGTGGATCAAAAGGATACAAAATCAGAATGGATCTGTTTAGAAATTGATCCAAATATATATGGTTCTTATTGTTAAATATAGCATTTTTATCATTCCTTTTTTTTTTTTTTTTTTTTTTTATTTGAAATTCAGTTTTGGAGTGTGATTTCAAATCCTGCCATCAGGTACTTGTGTTTTATTATTGTTTACAATTTCTTTGTTCTTATTCATTGGCAGTTTTAGATATTGTTTCTTTTTAAAGTGTTTTTAGATGTTTTTTCTAGATTTGTCACTGTTTGCTCTTATAACAGAGCATATTACTTTTAATACTGATTGTGATTATTTAAGTTTATGTATCATGTTTATTAAGAAACAAAACACAATAAAATAGTTATTTGTAGTTTAGATATGAAAACCTGAATATTATCTTTTATTAACTAAGAATTTAACTATATTAGCAATTATTTCCACACAAAACATTTGGAAAATCAAGTTATAAAATATACTTAGTTGAATTCATAAAACACCAACAAAAGTTTCTATCTTAAAATCAGTTTTTTTTTGTTTTTTTTTTTTTTGTTGATTTGCACTTGTTTTTTCAGCTATTAAAAAAACCTTCTAGTTTACAACTTTAAAATGTAATATGAAATACTAATATAAAACAATTAAAATATTAAAACTTAATAATTTAATAAAATTTACAATAGTCTAACTTGTAGCTGGAGTACCAATGCATGAAGACATCCTGTCATAATAATGTAATTGTTTCTATTTACATTTTCAAGCTTCAAATTTATTTAAGCAGAAATGGTTAATATTTTTACATTAAAGTCAATGGAATAAAGTCTTTTTTACATCATGATATAATCTGAAAAATAACCAAATCTTCTTATACTAAATAAAACTTATTTTTCAATAAGTTTTTGCAGATACCACACTAAATATATTCTATTTGTAATAACTATTCATAAAGTTTTGGTAACTTAAGACATTTTTTCTTTAGGTTTTAATGCCTTTATTCATAATGAGGAAAAAATTGAATGTAATTAACAGAATGAATTCATGATTTCATGATAAAAATGATAGCATCCTTACATTATGTTATTAGATTTTTAAATAGAATTCTCTTACTCGAATTATATAATTCAAAGTTCATAAAATGGTATAAACTTTCTATATAAGAATAAAAATTTCCTCATGGAATAATTATTTTAACAGTTTATAATAAAAGCAAGCCTGAACTTATCAGCAAAGAAATACCATATCTGTAATTATATAAGCATTAACTTTTACAATAGATCCACACTGATGCAACAAAACTCACAATTTTTCTGTTAAACAAGAAATGTATATTTGTTTTCAGAGAGCAACAGCTTTGTTCAGATGGGAAGAGTTAATGAACTTCATTTTTTTTATGCAACCATTAGTGTATACAGCCTGCAGTAAGCAGTGTTGGTTTGTCTGCTTCATTCCATGTTGCTTTTGCTGCTGATATGCTCAATGTTTTTGCTGTTGCTTCTATAATTTAGTTCTCTTTTTCAAGACATTTGTGGACAGTTGTAGTAATTGTCACTTCTTGTTAAGAAGTATTAAATGAAATCCTAAACTTACATTTATCATTCAGAGATGATAAAAAAACACTTTTTTGTGACCTTTACATTTCTTATATCAGATTTTTATGGTAGAATATTTTAACTTTAATTGTTTATGAAAATTTAATCAAAATAAATTAGCTATAAAAATGTATATAAGCATGTTTGAATGAATGTAACACTTGTTATCTAAAATAGTTTTAAACTGTTTGAGTAATATTCACAAATATATTGTGAAAAATTATGCAAAAAGTTTTTATTAGAATACTACTTGCATGACCAGTTTTCCTGTAATTAGAAGGTAGAAAATTAACATGCTTTGAGGAGAGATACTATTTAAATTGAGTCTCTTATTCAAAGAAACAAAGTTATTTTAAAGTATGCTGATAAATTACATTTTATAACTTATAACAAAATATGAAATCATATATCACTCTAAGAATCATCTTTATTGTTTTGACAAGAATTATTATTTACAAAAACATTTAGGGAAAATTTGAATGTTTTTACATTCAAAGAATTGTAACATTAAGTATTACATACTAACATTATTTTTTCATTTTTTAACCTATTTTATTAAATTCATATAATTAGTAAATATACTCTTTTTCAATGTTCTATTTAATTATTTATATCTAAAGATTTTTTAAAGTTTACAGATATTTCACAACTTTTCTAGCAGTTTAAATTTCAGTTTTGCAGATTAGGATTTTCAAAGATTAACAGAGCACAAAAATCATGTGGTTAATAATACCTTTTAAGTTCATAAGATACACACACAGTAAAAAAAATTAGTATTATATTTACTAAAAACTAATCATTTTATATATTCATTGTTATATTTTGTATTATGTAGATTTCCATAAAATAAGCATTATTACAAAAAATTGACAAATGCATTTTATTACATATTTGAATTCTTTTAAAATGTTTCAAACTGTCTTTAAATTCAGTAAAAGTAGTTTTTGAAATATTTATCTAAAAATTAATAAATAAAACCCTATTCTTTATCTGGTCATTTTAAAACACAAAATTTCAAATTCTTCCCATCATTTATAAATAAATCTGATTTTAAAAGATGTACATCAGAATGTGACAACTGACTCCAGCAGCCATGTTTGTTGCTCTTGCATTGTGTTCAGTTTTTATTTGAAAACAAAACTTGGAATGTTCTGTGTTAGTTCTCAATTAGCCATATATTTTTATTTCCTGCTTTTTTATTATTATTATTTTTTTTATTTTTTTTTTTATTTTTTTATTTTTTTTTCATTCTTTCTTTTTACTTTTATGCCTGTACTTTTTTTTAAAAACACAATCTTGTCATGATGAGATCCTTCATGTATCACTTTGGGTAACTATATATTATCTGAAACTGTGGTCAATTTATTATGTTCTTTTCTGTTACAGGCAACAAGAGAAACTCTCCGAAGGCATGTACAAGATTTTGGAGAGCATTTACGAAAAGAGAATGATGTTGCTTTAATTATTGATGGCCAGGTAAATTGGATTTCACTATCTCATTATAATGTATTTTTAACTTGAAAGTACTTCTTCAAATATTAACTTGTATCACTTAAACAAAAATGTTATTTCAAATGAAAATTTGTATCATTGAAATTTAGTAAACTTAGAGTAAGGCACAGTTTTCTTAGCTCTTCAGCCATCTGAAAGAAGAGATTCATTTTTTTTTTTTTCAAAAGATAACTTGTAAAATGCCATTATGACAGTTCAAGTCAATAGATTTTTCTGGAAGGTGTTAAGTAGTTTTGATTTTATATTGTTTCATTTCTTTATAATTACATGGGGTGTTTAATTATTCACAGATATGAAATTAAATTTTAGCATTCAGTCATTGATAACATCCTTAAATTTATCAAAAGACTATCTTTGAGACTTATTGCCATTACTAATGCAAGAATAACTGGAAATTATTGCCTTTTCATTAGGAAAATTAGAATTACTGGGCATAAGATCCGTAAGAGTAGCTGAAAAAAAAAATAATCAAAGATTAGGTTGTTAAAAAATCATGATTATGAATAATAATTATTTAAAAAAATTCAAAGGATCAGTGATAAATTTTAAAATTTAGAGTGACAGCTGTCTTAGTAAAATGTAATAAAAATGGAAATGTTAAATTCAGTTTTCAAATAGTTGTAATGAATGGGGGATATTTAGTTCTTTTAAATAGGTTTAATGCATCAATATTCTTTAAATAATAGAAAACAATGAACAACGAAATATGACTAATTCAAATAATCAAAAATATTAAAAATGAAATATAAATTTGTATTGCTATGTTAATTTCACTCCATATTCAAACAGTAGACAGATGTTTCATTTGCCTGCTGAACTTCGGGATGGTGATTTAAAAAAAAGGCATTCAAATTTACTTGATTATATCTTAGTGCTACCCCAAAACTTCAGAAAGCTTACGTCAGACATACAAATAAACAAGATAATATAGAGTGTGCAATGGGTAAATTGTTGCCATTTTATATTTTTAATTTTGCACAGGGGCATTGTTTGTTTTTTTTATTTTGTTGACTGTACAGTATAGTAGGGTCAGTTACCACCATCTCTGAGAAAAAGAGCACCGTGAGACAATTCACTCCGCCAGAAATTTGGGAATGACATGCTGTATTGCTTAGCATTCATGCTGGAAGCTCCAGTACAAACATTTCAGAGTGTTTGGGTGTCAATCTGAGGACAGTGCAGAGGATTTGGAAAGAGTTGGATAAGTCTAATGGTGATTATGAAGGTATGGTAGCTTGGAAAATTCACTCTGATCATTCTGATGAGAAAAGAACTACCAAATTTGTTGATGAGGGCCTCAAACTCAACACGAAGGCTTACATCAAGTGCCTTGAGGAAGTAGTGCTGCCCTACATCAAGAGGATGGCTACTGGAAGACACTACATCTGGCAACAGGACTCTGCACCATGTTACACAAGAAAGGAAAATCCAGTCATGGCTGTCAGACAATTTCTGCGACCACATCACCCCTTACATCTGGCCACCTAACTCCCCAGACTGCAACTTTCTTGATTATTAAGTGTGGGGTGCAGTTGAGTGAGAGACCAACTCCTTGTAACACCAAAGATGAACTAAAGGCAAGGATTATGGCAGCATTCATCAACTTAAACAAGGAGACCATCCAGAAGAGTTGAAGGAGATTCCAAAGTCATCTGTTGGCCATGGTTTAAATCAATGGTGATTTTATTGAATAAATTTACTTTAGTATTTTAACATATTTTTGTGTAATTTTGGTAAATATATCTGTTAAAATGAAATGTCAGTGTTATTTTCATTTTTGCATAACTTAGATGACAATTTATCCATCGCACCCTGTATAATAGTACAAAGACTTTGTATAATTAATAAATCCTGTGTCAAAGATATTTTGACAAAGATTAAACAAGTTATTTAACCCTCAAAGATTGATATTAGCAAAATTCAATGCATCTACTGGGAAAATATTATTTCCTATTTCATTATTTCTAATCAGAATTAATATTTAAGATATTTATTGATAAAAAATAATTTGTGAAATTATTTTAGTGGTATTATTTATTTTTTCATTAATTTCAGACACTGAAATATGCCCTTCTTTGTGATTGCCGGCAAGACTTTCTTGATATTGCTGTTTCATGTAAATCTGTTATTTGCTGCAGGTAAGTTTAATTTATATATATTCATTAATTTTGTGTGAAATATTAAAATGTGGTGTGATGATAGCAATATTATTGATTTCATAGCTAAACTAGCATGTTTTCTTTTCTGTGAGTTGTAAACTTTGCTATTTTGACTACATACCAGTCTACAATGTAAACATAGCTTTTTAGCCTTGAGCAGGAAGTAATTAGAAGATTTTATTAATTTTATGAAATTGACAACATTAAAAATTTTGAATTAATAATTTTAGAGTTCGAAGTATACAAAAAATTGCTTTAGTTGATTATGTATTTATAAAAGGAAATGAGAATATTTTAGCTTGTATGACAATAATTCAGAGCCTTGAGTATATTGTGTGTACCAAATATTGCTGTAAATATTTGGAATAAATTTTTTTCCATTAATAAAGTCATAAACAGTTTGCCATTCATTAATAATTTTCATTTTGATTTTTCCTGGTAGTGAATATATTTTATGGCTTTTTGTTTGTGACTCTAAGTTCAATAGTTTTTTTTTTTTTTTGAGATGCTCACAATGATGACCAAGAAGTCCTGTTATGTTAATAATATTTAAATAAATTATATAAATATATATTAATTTAATCTGTTAATAAATTTCTTTAAAAATGTATGCTTTTAATAGTATGTTATTAGTTTATAATACTAAATAACCTGAATTTGTTACTAAATAGTTTGGTATTTAAAATTATTTCATAAAAATGAAATATTACTATCTTAATTTTGTCTAACAAACATTTTTAACTTAATAAACTTTTAAAAGTAAACAATGATTTTATTTTATTTTTAGAGTCTCCCCCATCCAGAAATCTGAGATGGTTGAGCTTGTCAAAAATTCTGTAAAAACTATCACTTTAGCTATTGGAGATGGAGCCAATGATGTGGGCATGATCCAGGTATGAAACTGTTTTGAATTAGTAAATATAACTCCAAATAGTTTTAGCTTTCATAAGTAATGGAAGAAAGAATATGTATTTTCTTTTTTTATTTATATATAATCATTATTAATACTTGTATGAGTATTTACACTATATCTTCTTGTGAACATATACTTTGTTCAGGGGCACCTTATCTTGGCCTTGTATTACTATTGAGTAGTGAGTTTGATCCTCATTGATTACACCATACTTTGTGTGAAAACTATGGTAAACTGAATAAATAATTCTATTTTGAGTTCAGATTAATTGGGTAACAAAAAAAATGATCATTCAGTTGATTAAGTAAAAATAAAAGGCATTTAAAAAATATTTGGCATTAACTTAATTGAACAACATTTGCAATTTTGCTCCAATATTTTGTCAACTTTCAGGTAACTTTATAATGTTATCCTCCCAAAACTTATCTATCTTAGCCAAGAACTGTTCAAAGTATCTTTTGCAGTTTTTCAGGGAATTTAAACTAGAGTAAATGATTGCATAAAGGTGCAATATATGAATTCAGCAGATGAGTGTAAACTTTCCAGCCAAGCTCTAACAATTTTCACCTGATCAAAAACAAATCTTCAGTCCAGTGTGATACTAATAGAATATTATGTTCTTTCTTTTACCTAATTTTGAACACTTTTCATCATTTGCTACTTTCAGTAAGTTATGTGAGGAGTAGTACTTATTCAAATCAAATATTTGGTTCTCAGGAAGAAGTTTGTATAAAAAGACTCCCTCCACTTACCATATACAGCACAGCATCACATCCTTTGGATGAAAATCAGCCTTTGTTAGGGGCTAGTTAATTTTGCTTTCCTTATGATTACATTCCAGACATCTCAGTAAGTTTGATCTTCACTTGTGCCATACAACATTTGGCATTTTATAATCCAACAAAGGTTGAGTTGTAAATTCAATCAACCTAAACCAAATTTAACCTTGCATTCTATCTTGTTATAAAGGATCCACTTTCATTGCTTTTCACAGGGCATTTATATACCAGTAAATTTTGTTTTAATTTAGGTTTGTCGATTGTAGTTTTTTACAGAATTCAGGTTAGATTGGTAAGTCATCAATCCAAATAATTTCAACTCCAATGTCACAAGTTTAGCATAATCATTGGAACTTTCTCATATACCCATTTCAAGAAAGAAATACAAATTCTGCTGACCACCAAGAATAGTTTACTTTTATAGTTTTTGAAGCATGTGTGAATATCTTGGATGACAAACAACCACTACTAAACAATTATGGTAATTAGCCTGTGTCTAGGAACCCAGATAACACTGGTATTCATAATGGAGATAGTAAACTATCAATTAGGTTTTGTCTCCTAGCAACAGCCAACATAGTCTTGTTGATACTGGCTACATTTGCTCTTTCTATAGTTGCCATTCCTACTACTGTGATAGTCACATATCAAAGCAACAAACATAATCAAGCTGGCGCTAATGATTTTCAATGCTTGATTTGGATATTTTGATTATGTGGGTTATATTGTGTCATAATGTTGATTTATCAGAAGTAATGTGTTCATTTAAGTGCCATCAACCTCAACTGGTTTGTTTGAGTGTGGGCATCATGAAATTTTGCAACACTTGACATGTTTTACCTCTTAAGATAAAAAACATAATATTGCTGAAAACATTGCTTATTTCCTATTTTTAATGTAAAATCAATAAACAAAATAATTCAATTTTGGAAAATTTCATAAAAGAAAGTTTGCATCTTTCAATACAACCAGAAACAATCTTTCGATGAAATTAATTATAGCTAAGTACACTTTATGCCATCTAACAACAAAAACATTTTAACTAACCTAATATTTTCAACTTGGGTTTTTCAAAAAACTTCTTAAAAATAATATTTTTTCTCATTGTACACAAAATGACTTTCCTTTAATATATTCTTGTATTATTTTAGGCTAATTATTTTCTTTTTAAATTTTGTCATTTTTATACAAATTAAAATTCTAATAAATTATGAATTTAATTAAAAAATAGTTCTGAATTAATTAAATGTTTGTCAAGTTGTAAATAATGTAAAAAAATTTTCTTTTATTCTGTAGTCTGCTCATGTTGGTGTAGGCATCAGTGGTAATGAAGGGATGCAAGCAGCATGTGCCTCGGACTACGCTATAGCTCAGGTAGGTAGCATAAACAACCTCGCAAGTCTGAATTTCTTTCCTTTAAATTTATGAATATGTAGGGAACATATATCTTTCTTCACAAACTAAATTTGTTTCTCTTCAAGAAAAATGTTTTAATTATTGACTTTTATTTGTTTCTTTTGTATATAAAATTAAGATTTTAAGAGGTGTCTAGTGGAAATAAATATTTTAACATTGATTAATTGTATTACTTTGTATTGCATATATAATAAACCTTTAGTATGTTACCAGTAAACAATGTTTTGATATTTGTCAACTAATCACTCTGAAAAGAATATAACTTCAGGAAACTTAAATATCAATCTTGGAAACACTAGTTTTGATTCATAAATTATTTTATCAGCTAATGAAAAGCACCATTTTAAAATATAAGTTTTCAATATAATTTTTCATTTTAGATTTGGGATGGTTTGTGAAGATATTTGTAAAAATCTAAAATGTTTAAGCTGGAGCCATTTTTGTCTTTATTAATAGAACTAAAGAACTATTTGTATTTGTCCAAAAACAAATCTATTATAATGACTTAGTGCAACAATTTATCAGGCTCAGCACAATTATTACTGTAAAAATTCAAATTTGTATAATCAACAGTTATGCAATAGAAGAAATTTATCTATCTCTCTAGCTAGCTAAATATGTTAAAAATAGCATGAGATAAATGTTAATATGCATACTTTTTTAAAATTTCAGTTCCGGTATCTTAATAAATTGTTACTCGTCCATGGAGCATGGAGCTATTCAAGATTATGTAAATTGATATTGTATTCTTTCTACAAGAATATATGCTTATATGTCATAGAGGTAAGTTTCAGTTGCTGTCTATAAGTGAATGTCAATACATTTTTCTCTGTTTAAATTTAGTTATAGTAATCACTATTTTTTTCATTTGGCCATATATACTTTGAGGAGAATGATTTACATTAAATTTTGAGTAGGTTTTTTTTCTATAATAGATTGATTTCTTTTGGTTTCCAGTATTGTATAAAAATATTGAATAGTTGCCTTGACTATTATTAATGATTGAAGATTAAAGTTATTTTATATGAATTTGAAAACCAGATTATTTCTGAAATACAAAAGGATTATTCACAACTTGTAAACATCTGGATATTATCAAATCTTTATAACTGTATGAACCCTACAAATAATTAGCCTTACTTTGTTGATACATTTCCACTTGAATAATACATTGGAAAATACTGTAAGAATGGCTTCTATTTTTATCTTATCAACTGTCTAAACAGCTGTTTTTCAAAAATATATCCAGTTTAGCCATCATTATTACATTTATATCTGTACTTGATATGACTTGTCTTTTATTGGCATAATTCTTAATTAGAATCCTATGAAAATATACACACCAAATATAAATTTTATAATTTCAGCATTCCCTCCTCTTCATGCATGTGTGTAGTTACATAAACATCACTTTGGTCCAATGTAGTCCTAAAGGATGAAACGTATCCCATGAAAAAAAAAAAAAAGTTCGACATTGTCATTAATTTTTCCGATATATATATATTTTACAGTAAATCTTTTTCAATAATTTATACTTAAGTTTTAATAAAACCACTAAGAAATAGCATTTTGAGAAAAATCTATCATTATTTTTCTCTAGAACTTTATAACAAATACTGAATGTTATCTGAAAGATATCTATTTAATTTTTTAGTAATTTGCTTTTTCATATATATATGTGTGTGTGTTTGCATAGCATCTTTAAAAAAAGGTTAATTTCCTAATTTGAATTGATTTTATTAGTTTATGAGAATCTTATTAACATGTTAATTAAATCTAAATTGTGTCTTGGAATACAGAAAATCAGATAATTGTGCCTCTCTTTTAAAGTCATTATTATTTTATCAGTAGGTATTTGTGTGTGTTACAACTTCCCTGCATTCCACAGCAACAGTGTTTATTCAGAAATTGATCACATGGCTACAACAGCAGGGTGATAATCCAACATGGTTACTTTGTATGATCTGCCTTTAACAAGCACCAACCTAAAACTACTCTCTGGATGAGCACCTATCCCAATATCACTTGAACCCACCTGAGCACATGTTTCTTATTGGTATTGCATGGGTATCAACAAAGTGAAATTCCTCATAAATTTTGCTGGTTCTAAAGACCTTCATTGTTTGAAAACAATAAATAGGAATCTAGATGCCAAGAGTTTTATCTGTAAAATTTCCTGGCAAAGATTCTTTTTTTTTCCCAAAAGGCAGTAAAGATTTCAGGGGTCAATAGTATTTAAGTAAACCTGATTTGGTCCATCAGATAACTATTAATAATAACAAGGTTGAAGTTATCCAAGATGTTTACTAGCTGCTTTTGTTTCATGATCAGAGCTATGTAATTCTGGTGTGTACTTAATATAGGTGACTAGATTATGTGCTTTTCTTTCATTCAACCACATGAGGTATACCCATTATCCTATGGTAAATTATTAAAAAAAAACAAAAACCAAACAATGATGCATTTTTATTATGCATTATTGATTTTTTAATTATGTTGCAATCAACTTTCAGTATTCCAAGAGGAACATGTTGCCACTGAAGCATTTGTGTTTGGATACTTTCATAGTATGTTTGAAAAATAAGGATTACAGTTGTCCATTGAAATATTCTTATTTTACTCTTGCTTATCATTTCATTGAAATCTTAAAGGTTAGTATAGGAAATTTTAGCATCTTTTTTTTTTTTTTTTTTTTTTTCCAGTAAAAAAACGCATTGATTTGGAAATTCTTGTAAAAATCAAATAAATGTCAGATTTTAATGAAATTTTCAGGACTTCTTCACAAATGAATGAAATTATTTATTATTATTTTTTTTTTTATTTTCTTTTTTTTCTTTTGTTACATCTGTTATATTTTGTATTAGTTAAAAGCAGGACTCCTTGGTGAATTTAAATCATCAATTTGTTTTTGTCAAACAAACACCATTCACTGAAAATCTGCTCTGAATCGTAAAATAAAAAATGCAACAAAACTGACATTATTTAATTGAAAAACATAATTACTTTTATGAATAAGATATATTAAAGACACTATTTTTTCAATAAATAATGAATTTTTACAAGAATTGTTTTTATCTTTTTAATTTTAATTAGAATAATTAAGTTTTAAATCTTTTAAAATCCTGTAATTTCCACCTTTTTAAGTGATATTATTAAGTGAAAACTATATTTACTAATCATAAATGGAATAGCTTAGTACAATTCATCAAATGTGTATGAACATGCCAATTTTTGTAGATACAGAAATTCATACACAACATTATCAGAAAATAAGTGCTAACTATAGTAAATTTAAAGCCAAAAAGTATCTAAAATTTAATAAAACATTAGATTACAGAGAATATTTCTTAAAAATTATATATAAAAGGCACTCACGTTACATTCTCTTATTTTTTTATGGCTGAAGCCCCATACATTAAATATCAATCTGTCATCAAGCTATCAAACACATCAACAGCTTAAATAAACAGCTACCACTGTGTTAAAAAGTTGCATTTCTGTGATATTTTAAATTTAAAGTAAATAATATTTGTTTCAAATCAGATTAATTATACTTTTAATCAGCTAATATTCCTCAAATAAAGATTCAGAAAAGTATATTTTATTTTTGGAAGATTTTTTAAGAAAATTACATTGCAATGAAAGATTACTAAAATAGGGCACTAATCAGCTATTTATAAAAAAAAAAAGAACTCCTTCCAATCAATTTAAATTAGTCTTTGAAATATAGCAAAGTATTTTGCTTATTGGAAATATTAAATTTAATCAATTTGCTTGAAATTAAAACTGAAATAAAAGCTTCAAGAAAGATTTGTCATTTTAAACCTTAGGTATTGCTTTTTCTGTGGAGGTACCTAATTTTAATTGTTAAAATTTTTACATTGCTGTGTGTATGTGTGTGTGCTATAAACCATAAGATTACTAAAAGCCCAGGGTTTTTACTCTTCCTATCCTTAATCCTCTTTCAAAATTAAAAAAAAAAAATCAAAGAGCTGTTATAGAATTTGTTTGTTTTGGGATGGAGAAGGTACGGCATATATTCACAGGATATTATTGAATGGTTATAGAAAGGCTGCACTTGATGTAAGTACAGTAAGGAGTTGGTTCAGTAGAATTAATAGCAATAGTACAAAGAAAGATGAAACTGACCTAAGTGCCAGACCAGCTGCTACTGTGAATAAAGATAAGTTCAAACAGGTTGAGTTATTCCATCTCATATCAACCAATGGCTACAGAAAAACTTTGGAAAATTTGCAGATATTTCTTGATCAAATTTATTGATAAATCCCAAATATTAGATCTATATCTTTTAATAGTTTTAAAATCAGAGCATCTTGAAATTTCATTGCATTTTTTTGTGTTTTGCTAAATAAGGCTTTCAATGAACTGACATTCATACCTTCATAACTGGATATTGTATGTACAGATTTGAAATTTGATGACAATAGTTAATGTTTACTGTAGATTACAAAAATAACTGCTCAGGTGTGTCTTACATATTGTTATGAATGGATACCCCCGCCCCTATTAACCAGAACAGATATCTGATAGTGCCAGTCTGTCTTCATGAAAAGTAGATCAAACTTAACCACCGGTCACTTGATGATTAGGAATATCTAATAAAACCATAAAAATATTATGTTCTCCTAAAATACCTCTGTGCTTTTAGTGCTAATCACCATGCTTCAAATTAGTTAAACCTCAACCCTTTCTCTTTTCTCCCTACCCTCCTCAACCTGTATACATCTTCATGCATACATACCTACATACATGTAGAAAACTTTTTCCTTCCAAAAATATGTGCCAAGAAAGGCTATTTGATAAAAAAAATCTCGGCAAAGAGGTTGTGCTTTTGGGTCCTGGTAATGAACATTTTAGACACGTATTCACCAATAAACATTTTATCATGTATCTTCTCCGTGCATCTCTCCCTTTTGTTTTGCCTTCATTTGACCAATATCAAAAAATCATATATATTTATGTATTTCTTTTCGGTCTTAAATGTATTATTTCAAATGCTGCTCTCCTGATTATATAGTCATATACATATTAATATTTTAATCAAAATCTCCCTAAACCTTACTTCTGTTACTACCTATTTTTGTTAAATTAAATGAAAATTAACTTTCATCATTTGTTTTATTTTACATTTGTTTTTCTTCTTTTTTTTCTTCTTTTGTCGCATTGTGACAATACTTTTATTTTTATAAGGACCTGAAAATGAACAAAATGCCAAAAGACAGTACACTTGAGACTTTTCATTTATAAAGTATGTCAGATACAGCATCCAACTTAATTTTAATGTCATTTATGACCTAATACATTATTTCTATGCAATAAACAGATTCATTCCTGTTACAGGAATATCAGTATTACTATTTTAAAATTACTTGATTTTTTTTTTTTTTTTTAACATCCTTAAAATTGCCTATTTTATGACATCTGCAGACCAGTTAAGCAGTTTAAGAAAAAATTTTATATTTTTAAAATATATTTTTACATATCTGAAAATTATGTGACAGAAGTTTTGTTTTGTGGACAAACATCTATCTAGAGTTAATTTTTTTAGAACAGCATATCATTTTTTTAGAACAGCATATCATGCCAAACTCAGTTTTGTCAATTTTGGCAACTTATAAATTTGATACTTAAGGAAATATAAAGCTAAAAGTTGGTACCCCTATAAATTCCTATGCAAATAAACTAGCTTGTCTTCATTTTACCTTTGCTCCAAATGGTTTTAGATGCTATGGATCATTACAAATGCTTTTTCTTTTTTTTAATCTACAAAATTAGCTGAACAAAGAAACTGAACCAAGGACATTAAAATAAGGATTCCACTAGATTTTTTTTTTTTTTTTAATTTTAAATAGATCATGTCAAAATAGTGAAAATGCATTAAATTTGTCCATGTTAAGCAATTTTGATGCTCGAAAATATACATAAAACAGTAAAATAAAAATCACGTAAAGTTTATTTTTAAAGAAAATAAACAAATATTTGAGTTTAGTGATAAGCCACCCTGTTTTCAGGATTCACATATTTGATTGGTGAACAATTTAGAGAGATAGTGGAGACCTTCAAATTTTCTGTAAGTTCAGATGCAAGTTGAAAAGCTTCTGACTCTAGTTGCATTTAGTCTAGTATTAGCTCTTGACTTAACCATACAGGTCTTTCTAACAAGTTGAAGAAAATTTTTGCAAGGCCAAATAATTTATCAGATTCTAACTTTGCAAAATTTAATCTAAGCTAAACTGAAACATTCATAGCGATCACATACTGTTTCATTTTATTTTTAGCATTAAAAAATTCTTATCAAATAAACAAATGCTTTTTACACAAAAATGTATCAACTAAAAATCTATATGAAATTAAATAAGATTACAAACTGTCACTTATGAGAGATCTCCCGATGAATTTTATTTTGATCCACACAATAAGCCTTATTTTGCAAAACGCATAAAATGCAGTGAAATTTCAAGATGCTCTGATTTTAAAACTATTAAAGATACAGATCTAATATTTGGGATTTATAGATAAATTTGATCACAAAACACTTGTGAATTTTCCCAGTTTTTTCTGAGAAGGTCACATGTGGCTGTTGGTTGATTTCAGAAGGAATGACCCTAATGCTTTCATTACAGCTAAAAGAAGAAACATTATTGGAAAACACTATGAAAGCCTTCAGGTAAGCCATGTATTGACTGCAGTTTAAGAGGTCTGTGTAAAGTGTGTTCCCAGAATGTTGACAGGAAAGAACAGAAAGTGGTTGCCACCAATGAGCTTCTGGAATTATACAACACATTTAGCACTCCGAGGACACTGACTCTCCAATTATGATGAGATGAAAATAGAAATTTACATGGCTAAAAAAGCAACCAAAAAGTTTCTAGTATACATGTTCTCATTCAAATATGATGGTGAAGGAGACTGTTAAGAACTAGATTGGGAACTTTTAGATTTTTGTATTCGTTTTGGTATGCTTTGTGTGCTTATACTATTAAACCTGTTCTAATTAAGGAAGAACAAGCATTATGTTTTGACCCACCCTCACATACAGCTGCAAAAAATATTAATTTTTCCCCAGTCATTTCACGTTAAAAATTGAGAGTTAGTGATAATCAAAATTTGAAATGTAAATAAAATTTTATAACTGGTTGTATAATTAACTTTGTTTATTGTATAATCATTCTATTTTTTGTATAATTTTTCAAGAACTAGGTTGCATTTTTCATATCTTAATAAATTTTTTTTTAACTCTTACATTTATATGATATGAAATTAATTTTTCTTAAGTGATTTTTTTTCTAAACCTATTCAAAGCACTTGCTAAATTTGCAAAAATAAAATACTGTATTTGTAACTATCTAGAAACTTCTCATAGCATTTTAAGATATTCATCTCTTTAATTCATATCCTTTATATAGTAAATTAGAATATACTGAACAGTCCATTAAAAATTTCAAATTCAGTTAGTGGGAAGTGAATATTCTTCATACAAATTCTCTGATTATTGATTTTTTTGATTTTTTTTTTGATTTTTTTTCTTCTCATCAATGTCTATTTCAGCTTTGGTTCAATATTGTTTGTGGTTTCTCAGGACAAATTCTATTTGAAAGGTGGACTCTTGGTTTTTACAATGTGGTATGTGATATCTTCATTAACAGTAAAAACAATCCACCTCTGACCTTCTTCAAACTCAACAAAGAACAGGTTTATGCCATAATGCTTCTTCCCTTTTTTAATTGTAGCTTTACTAAGTTCAGTGATTGGAATTTCTTTTAGCTTTCTGAGACCTGAAAAATCTTATTAAATTTTTTAAAATAAATATATGAATATAATAACTCTCAATTGGTTGATACTTAGAAGTCAGATATGAAAATTAAAGAATTCAAGCATTGCTTTTTTTTCATATTAATTATTTTCCTGGATATGTTTTCATTTTATAATTTTGTATTTAAAATTAATTTTACCTCAAATAACAAAATCTGCAAAAAAGATTTTTTTTTAAATTAGTCTTTCAATTCTCAGTTAAAGCAGAGAAATTCCATGATACCACTTAACCTTGACTCTCTGGTTCTTGGCCCTCCTGTTAGCTCTTTTTGGCAGCTTTATCTTGTATATTCTTACAGTTTTGGTTTGCCATGGTTAATGGTTTTTCCGGCCAGGTAGTATTTGAACGATGGAGCATTGGTTTGTATAATGTGGTATGTGATCTTTTATAAGCACTTCTTGTGTTGTACTTTATTTTTTTTATTTATTTAAATACAAATCCACATAAAACTGATCAAATCAGTAATTTTTAGTGAAAGTCATCAGTGACAATTCATTATTATGGATTTGTTTTGAACTAATGACAGTAGCATGGAAATACTGAACCTGGATGCTGAGTTTCAGAAACTTTCACAATTTATTATAATTTATAATAATTGTAAACAGTTTGAAACTAATTAAAAGTTTATATTTCGATATTAGACCTGGGTCATATTTTATAAGCACTTCTCACCGAATTAATCAGCATATTGATATATTTTTGTTATATACAAGAGGGTGCTGAAAAGTCCTCAATCTGACTCACTTCCCAAAATCTAACCAAATGACCATTTTATTTATTTTTTTTCTTTTTTCAATGTACCTGGTCAGGCTGAGAACTTTTTAGCACCCCATAATCATATATGTATTTCCATGCTTAATTTATGTATGCCAAGGTTTATAGAATGCCACATTTGTATAAGAAAATGACATTCAATTTATAAGTTCCGATAAACAAAATTTGCAAATTTTAAAGTTTTCTTTCATGAGCCTGATTGGAAAGCAAGAAAGGTTTTTTCATCATTAAATTTATTGAACATTTTATTCCACTATATTCTGCTATTTTTCTACCCACTCAGACCCTGTAAGTGAATTCCTGAAATAATCAATTGGATATATGAAAAATGTAATAAATATGGCAACAAAGATGAGGACACTAGTCCAAATAATGTAGATAGTGTACATAATACCTCATCTCAGAAATATAGACAGACAATTCTCATTAGTTCAATTATTTACTGTTTTAAATGTTAGTATAATGATTATAAAAGTAGAACTAATCAGTGGTTGGAAATGAGAATAAGTGAACTGCTAGCTAGTATTCATAAAGAGCCATTCAATAATTTACATAGGTGCATCAATACACCTGGATCTGTGATAGCGGAACATCTGTTACATATCCACCAATATGCTGTGCCCTATCATAAAGACATGTTTTCAGTTCTGAGTCAGGCACATTCAAGCTTTCACTTGAAAATATTGGAGATGTTATACATTAAGTCTTTACAGCTCTTCCTTTGTAAACTGAGTAAATCTCTCAGCTTTTCACCAACCAGACAAACCCCATAATTTGTCTCTCTTCACATTCATGTCAGCGTGCACCAAGAACTGGGAAAGGCTTGTTGTATGCTCACAAGAAAACAGAAGGTGAAAATAAATGCCATAGCAAAAAACAAAATTTCAAACCCTGTCTCCAATACATTTTGTTGTTTATTCTGGATAAGTAGGTGATTTTTAGAGACAATTTCTGGCATCTAAAACAGATTAACTTTTCCCTTCAACCAGTAAGGACTCTGACTCTCCTACCACTTCCTGCCCACCTCAACATTATGACTTGTGACTGACAATGAGCAGCATCAGAACTATCCCAACAATCTGTTTTCAACCAGTAACATGCAGCCCAGAACTAATTTGAGGGATAGTATGGCCCTTCATCAAGGGTGGTCCAGAACTCCCCTCAATGCCAATTGAAACTGTTAATATAGATGTTGAAGAAAAAGCAAAAGTGTTCTTTTATTTCTCTATTCTCTTTTGGTCAAGTGGGTAGCTACCATGAAGACCTTATTCCACAGACATTGTTGGTCATAAAACATGAAACACTTAAGACCAAGATAAAATCCTCTTTTCTGTCTGTGTTTCCATCATGGTGTCACAGTGACTTTTGAGTTTGAATGTAATTTCCCTGTGATCTTCATTAGATTATGTTGTAAATAAGAAAATTAGGAAAAAATAAGTTTAAGGAGAACAAAGATAATAAAATATGTAAATAAAGAAAAGATATTTTAATTCAGACATTAAATCCTGTGAATGTTCATAGCTAATTCTAAGTGAATTAGTGAATTGTTTCTATGGCAAATTGCTGAAAGGACATGAGCAAAAGTCTTTTCAAACATTCTCATGTATGATTTGGTTTAAACTGTTCTACGTTATTATAAAGCATGTACATTTTATTTTTAAAAGGGGGACATTTATATATGGTCCAATAAATTGTCTTAATTTAAATTATATGAAAGTCATTTATAGTGACCCTGATAAACTAATCTTGTGTGAATAATTATCAAAATTTGGGTATTTTTATTATTCTTGTGCAATGTCTTTATTGATCACTATAAACTCAGTTGGTCTAGAAATCTCATTCACATTACTCATCTCTTTCAAATCAATATTAAAATCAAACAAAAAAAATGCCAATTTTGAATATAGATGATCTGTGAATGATTTTTGGCAAAACCAAATACCCAGCATTGGTTTGTGCCAAAATGTGCTGCAACCATAACCCACTATAACACCTACTACTGTCTACCACAAAGAACAATGTAGTAGAACTTTTGCTGCATTCAGAACTGCTTACAATCATTGCAAAGAACAGCTATGCAGTCAGTCTAAGCCAAGGTTGTAAACAAAAGACTTTGCAATATCTCTATCATGGTATGGGAAGTTTCCAGACTTATCAAAAGCTTTGACACTGAAAGCTACTGGTCTGAATAAAATCTCAGTGTTTGTTCTCAAGAACATCAACCTAGAGTTATCTACAATCTTGGCAAAACTGTTTAACTGCTGCCTGAAGATGAGATGCTTTCCAAGTCTATGGACGATGTCAACTGTGTGCCCTGTTTTTGAGAATGCGGGTGAGTGGTAATTCTTGTCACAATATCAAGCCATTAGCCTCCTTAGTGTCTTCAGCAAGCCATAATCAACAAGAAGGTGGTTGAATACCTCAGCAGGAACAACCTTCTGAGTGACAATCAGTATGGATTTCACTCTGCTAGGTCATTGCTGATATCATAACTATTATTACTCATGGAATTAGCAAGATATTATTCAATAAATTCATCATGAGGACGATTGCCTTTGACAAAGTGTGACACTCAAACACAAACTCTAGTGATGGAATCTCTGGAAGGGTTTTCTCAATTATCATGTCCTTCCTAACAGGTCATGAAGGTTGCTGTTAATGGCCAGTCATCAGAAGCCCATGAGATTAATGCCAGCCTTCCCTAAGGTCCCCTTTTCAGTGCTACCCTCTTTCTGCTTTATTTCAATGATCTGCCTAAGAACATACTCAGATCTTTAGTGAATATCTCTGCAGATGATACAACAGTTTATATTATCACCTCTAAAAATCTGGATAACCAGAAACTGGAAGCGAATCTCTCCTTTGACCCAGCCTTGATGAACTGGCTTCTAATATTTGATACCTCCAAAATTAAATGAGTAACCTTCCACCATCACTGAGCAGACCCTGAACTTTCATGTATCATGATGGATGGGTGTTCTTTCAAGGAGGCTTCTTGCTATGGATGCCTATTGGGATCACATCAGCCTTCAAGTGGAGCTTGTATATACAATCCATTGCTAAAGATGGAAAAATGGTCAGTTCCTTGTATATCCGATCTTTACAAGATCCAGATCAGACCAAAAATGGAATATAGCTGCCATATCTGGGCTGGAGCTGTCCAATCCACTCTTGCCTGTTTTGATAGTTCAAGTGTCTATGCAGCTTTGTGGGTGATGAATTATTTTCCAGTCTACAATTTCTTTCCCACAGATGAAATGTTGCAAGTCTATCACTGTTTACATGGCAAATGTTCTGAAGAGCTACATTCCTTAGTTTCACTAATTCTGATCTTTGCAACTAAGACCCACTGTGCTATTTAAACAAGGACAAATCATCCTCATTCCTTTCAAGTTTTCCCAATCACTACAATCTCAACCTCTTCAAGTCTAGGGTTAACTGTTATCTCTCCTATGTAACCTAATAAATTGTACTTCTGACCTTTTCTTCTTATGCCCATACATCATCATTCATTAATCGTCTACCTTGAGAAAGCTGATGTGAATACTAAGAAGTCAGAAATGTATTCCTTATAATAACCTTTTGATTTATGTAATTCTATTTACACTATTTGCATTGTTTGGACTGTTGTCTGTCTTCATCTTTATTGCCACATTCACAATGTTTCAGCTATTGTACACTCCAGCCTTCATCATCTGATATTAGTTGGAATTTTGAACCAAATCCTTTTAGTCCATGGTGGAGGTAGATTGTTCTAATTCCATGTTCTATGCCTTTGGATATCTGAGTTTCAATTAATTCCTCTCGATAACTCAACTCTCCAAGTGTTTGGTCTCTCTCTGCTGTGGCCAGTGATTGAACTCACAACCCTTTGGGTCAAGTCACTTTTGGATCAATCAGCCAATACTTTTATCCACTTAATGAATTTTGGGGATTTATAAACCTAATGTCTCGGGACGATTTTTTACCAAAAGTTCATATTACAATTTTTTGTTATTGTTGTTTTTCTCTAGTTCTCTGTATTACTGGTTCCCATATTCATGAAATGTTGTGAATGTGGCAATAAAGATAAGGACAACAGTAAATGTAAATAGTGTAAAAAAACTTACAATACTTCATATCAGAAATACAGACATGTTATGTAATTCTGTTTTTATCACTTTCCTTGATGTATACTTGTTTAATATGTACTTTTACCTGAATTTTAGTTTGTCCACAAAAAATGTATGACAAATCGTTCATCAATTTGGAATGTGCACAGAACTATAATATTAATTATATCTGAATATTTAGTTTTAAAGCTATAGTCTTTCAAATCAAATGCTTATTGTAAGACTTCATGACTTTATTTTAATGTTTTATCAAACATTTATTCCTAATTGTATAAAAGATAGCAAGTAAACCCATTGTAAACTTTTAACTGATTACTAATCCCAATTTTACTTTATACGAAGCTCTCTTAATGAAATAATTGTTGATTGACCTAAGAAAAATACAACTGAAGCAATAAAAAGAAAACATTAAAGTTTTATAACACTGTTATTTTGCATTTGAAAAAGTATTGAATAATAATTTGGAAAGGTTATTAAGTGGTGACTGTGTTTTGAGATATAAAATGTTTTCAGTAACACTTAAGAAATGTCTTTATTTGAAGAAGCGGGCCAGAAACCCAATGCATTTTCCTCAAATATGATAAATGCTATATGAGCTGCCAATTGATGAGAAGTCTCAACATTAATTAATTTCCTATAAGTTTCATTTTTGAATTACATTGTGATGAGTGCTTGTCAGTTGACAAACATTGTTGAGAGAACTCATAAAAAAAATAAAAGATGTAGATTCTTTAAAAAAAAACAAAAAACTATTGTTTCTCACTCTGGCAGAATGTATTTCATACCACTTGAACAATGGCTGGAAAAATTAAGAAACTTAAAGTTCCTTATTTTAATTTTTATGCTACTCTATTTTCATTATATCTTGAAATGTTCAGAGTTTGTTCATAAAAAATTTTTTTTATAATTTTTGTTTTTCCTTTTAAATTTTAAGGTAATTAATACTTATGAAAAGATTTTCTTTTAGCTAATATATTGAAACAAGAGTGTAGTACACAGTTATTTAAGATAAACATTTTTTAGTTTCATTTTAACAATTTTTTAGAGATTGCAAAATAATATCATTAACTAGTTGATTATCTTGTAACTGTTATTTTTTTAATTTGATTATTTTAATGAGCCAGTTTGGTTTCATTATTAATATTCAGTAAAAATTGAATTAGTTATGCAAAAGCTATTAAATCATATTTTATAAAGATTATTAACACTCTTTTACTTAATTTTATCCATTTCAGATATTCACTGCATCCCCACCTCTTGTATTAGGACTCTTTGATCGCACATGCAATGCAGCAAATATGCTCAGATTTCCAGCATTATATAAAACATCACAAAGTGGGGAACTTTTCAACATCAAGGTAAGACTTGAATAATTTATAGGATAGGAAATAAGTCAACTTGTTATTCAAAATTAATATCAAAATTATTTTGACATTTGAAAATTGAACCTTTATGATAAAATTTAAAGCTACAAATAAGAGCTTTTTTTAAAATACTCATGTTTATACTATTAGGTAATGGTAGATTATAATGTTATTTTTTATTACTATTCTATTAGGGATATGATTAATAGATGCTTATTTAAAATTCATTATGAGAAACAAAATTATTCAAAAAGATAATTAAAATTTTAGCAGTGCATTCTTTTTAAGGTGATGAAAATTTTCTTTAAGCAAACTTTTCAAAATTATCTGCAATTTGATCCCACTTTACAGGTATTCTGGATGTGGATCATCAATTCCATTTATCATTCCATTTTACTGTTTTGGCTAACAGTCATTGCACTCAAACATGGTAAGTAGTTTTCATTAAAATGCAAAATCTTTAAGGTTACTTTTTTTTTTCTTTTTTTAAGTTTAAATATTTTTTAAACCTAAAGGTGCTTCTTAATACTTCTTTTATTTCTTGCCTTTTACTGTTTTAATGTTAAATAAATAATTTTTTCAAGCACATAAACAAGTTGATCATAAAATGATGCCTTTATTTTCTAATTTTTCTTTGATATTTTCTTTTTGTCGTTTAAAATTGCTATGAAGTATGCTTGTATTTTACTTGGTGTTTAAAAATGCAAGAGCACTGAGAAATTGTCTTAATTCATATCAGTATCTTATACATTCACAAGTGTTCTTAAATATAGTGATGACTTTCTCATATTACCAGATTTCATGTAATTTTAAGAATCATCTTATTCTTTTGTATGATGTAAAGGATGTGGTTTAGTTTTTGTATAAGAAAGTGAGTTTCATTAATGTAGCTAGTAGCTAATCGATTTTGAAGTTGTCATTATAATTTACTCATAAAATTGCTGAAACAGCACAAATCCTTGAAAATGAAGTACATTGAAAAATTTCCCAATACAAACAACAAATATAAGAACATTGAAGAAATAGAAATGTAAAGATTTCTTTTTTAATGTTACTACCTCCATTCCAACATAAATGACCAGATTTATGGAGGTAGTAATACTTAAAAACCTATTCCCAAAATATGCTAAAATTATTTTTCAAGACTAAATTTTCTGAAAAAAATATTTATAGAATGTCTCCAATATTCTCGCATAATTTCTTGTGCTGTATACCAAATCTAGACTCACTATGCATTAAATATCTGCAGAAATACATTATTGAAATAATGTGGTCACTTGGTCAACATTCAAAATCAAAAAATTAAAAAAAGACTTATTCAGAGAATAATATTGATTTAATTCCTTATGAGTTTACAGTAATTTTAAATATCAAATTTAATTATAGAGATATGAATTAGTATTCATTTGTTTTACATTTACATGACATTGCCAATATTAAATAGAAGAAATCTTTCTGCAAATTTTGATTCTTTGAATATATTTTATTAAACCAATTTATTCAAAATGGAATTTTGCATTTAATTCATTTATTCATAGATATTCTTTATACAAATGGTGAAGTTGGTAATTACTTACTGCTTGGAAACTTTGTATATACGGTAAGTTTCAACTAATTTCTTTATGGAAATTCCAAATGCTTTTAAATTGTACTTATGTTTTTAATGAAATAATTACAGTGAGCACACATTATACTTGGTCAGTTGTTGTTCAACTCCCCACATTCTTTAAAAACCATATATGTTCAAGCCATTTTTATAAAATTGCCAATGTACAATGATGTTTTGAAGGAGGTACAACATCAGATTCTCTGGCGGATGATGGTTGACAATTTTCAATAGTGGAATGAGGCTTCACAACTGCAGATTTCTTCATTTAAAACAAAAGAAAAACAGTTAAATGAAGCTGATTTTTATTTCTCTTGAATTTCTCAAACAACAGTTATAGTGGCTCTAGGTCAACTAATTGCACGGGTGATGCATATGCTTCATTTGATTGAAGAGTTGTACACCTTGATCATATCCTTCAAAAATTATCTTGGTGAAAAACTTCACCAGTGTCCTCAATTTCTTTTTCATCATCTGTTTACAATTTCAGCAGTTCTTCCAGATCTTCATCAATAAGAATTTCTTTGTTCTCTTCAATATGTTGATGAACTACTTCCTCTATCATACTGGAAAAGCCTTCCCCATCAATTTCCCTGGCAACCTGCAAAATCACCTTTACTTCATCAATTATTGTGAAGTCCTTGAAGTTGTTGACTGCCTTGCTTTATAATGCCTACCAACATGCACTTACTGTCTCAGGCATTACGGTGACACTAGACTCAACAATTAGCTAAATTGCATCCTCAATTGTGAGACTGTTCTATAAATCCATGCTGCAATCTGAGCTAATGGCAAAGTTAAGGAGGATGTATATCATTTTTACACTTTGTGATGTCTTGATTAACAGGCTGCAGAGGTGATGATATGTTTGGAGGCAGGGATAGCATTTCAATGCATAAGGGATTTGAAATGGCCAGGGGCATCACCAATAATTAGAGCCTTATCTGTTCTTCTTGAGGCATTTCATCACAAAATATAAAGCAGGAAGAAAATAACTATGACCCAAAACTTCTTATCATATTGCCAGAATATGAGTAGCATATTTTTGCTTTTGTTCTTTACACTTGATTATATCACTTGCTATGTTGCTAAAAAGCTCTACATACGAATCTTAAATCCTGAAGCCTGGTAGACATTGGTATGAATGTAAATACAATTCAACATTTCCTTGGCCTTGATAGTAGATCTCTTCCT